GGCCCAGAAATGCTTTTCGAATGACGCTCTTTCCTTTTTCTCAAGCTGCTAGGGTAGCTTCTGTGCAGAATCCCCTAAAAGCTCCCTGGTTTCTATTCCAAGAAGCATTTGCCTGGAAGGAAGAGGAGTCAGCAGAAATGTCGGCCAGATTGGATTGGAGGGGAAAAGAAAACAGAACCAGCCTTGACTCTTTAAACACAGAACCTTTGAAACTAGACTTTCCTCCTGGAGCCGCTGTAGGTTCACAGCAGAACTGAGCGGGAGCTATAGACCGGCACCCCCGTTCTCCGCACGCACGACCTTCCCCACCTTCCACGACCCCTCTCGAGGGGTGCATCTGTTCCAGGTGATGAAGTGACATAGACTCATCATCGTCGCCGAGAGCCCACACTTTTCATCCGGGCTCACCCTTGGTATCTTTAAATACAGAAGCCTGAGTATTCGTATTTTCTAGGACGTCTTCCCGAAACGGATAGTTTCCTGTGGGCGAGTAGAGACCACTTGGGATTTTTATTTTGCAAAGGGAGATTGCTCTCGGTTTCTGTGAAATTACCATCCAGACTTGAGGTGTTTGCAGGGCGACACGAATACCAGCCGACACCCAATTCCCTCGCTGTGTCTGTCTACCATTCGCTGGCCTGTGCGGCCAGGAGACAGAGGGGGACAAAATTCCATTATCTCATCCTCTGTCGTCGTTTTTCCTGCCAGGCGAAACCGTCTCCAGAATGGAGAAGCCTGTGACGTCCATTGTTCTAGAAGCTTCTGCTTCAAGCCAGAGGCAGTAATGGATTCATAGCTTCCATTTTGCAACCCTACAAGCATGCCCATGCACAGTGGGGTCAGACCCAGTTTGCATGTGCCTGCACACCGTGTTTTCCCTGTAGGCTGCCGCCCAACCAGCTCGGTGGGATCCTCTCCCGCCTAATTTGCAGGGACCATTCGACTGTGCTGGGGAGATCTTGGGAAGGTCCCTGACATTTACCTTTCACTGATTGACTTGTTTTCCACGCTGCTTGCTCTATTTGAAAACACACCGCAGAGAAAAAAATCTGGAAGCACTTAAGTAAACGCAAGAGAATTCGAGGACGTCTACGGGCCACGCTGTGTGTGCACACAGAGCAAAACAAAAATCTCCCCTCGTGTTCCCGCAGACGATCGGTAGCCTGTATCACCATTTAAGGTTTACCCCTCTGCGGGCGGGGAGCAAGGTTTCCCATGCAACTTGGCTAAAAATCTGTTTCTGCTCAGATACAGATACGTCCACACTAGCTATTAGCTTACCCCTGGGGTTTGAGAGCTATGCACGCCCATGAACTCAAGAGTAGAGATTTCCTGTGCAGACTTTTTTTTTTTATTCCCTCTCCCCTCCTGAGTCATGTTAGTGTGTTTGGGGTCAGCCCTTCCCCTGATTACAGAGGCTGGGTAGCAGTGGGGCAGTCCAGTCACGTGACTTGGGAAGTCGCTTTTACGGTCCCTGTTAAGAAAATGACACGGTGACCCACTGAGTCCCTTAGAATACTACATCTTCCACGTCACAGTCACTGGGAACGAAAGCTCATGGCTAGACAGAGTCAGTGCGTCACCAGAGACCCTGCCTTTAGGTGGCAGTAAAAGATGGAAAAGAAGATGAAAGGTGCGATAAAGTGACAATAATTGACTGTAGGTTCACCGGATCCTGCGTTACGAACTACAGATGTGGCCCGGGTACGTGTTCAACTCTCTGTAGGCAGGATTGCATTTTGCCTTCCCAACAGCGCCAAGAGGTAAAAATTGTCATTCCTTGTACGCCATTGAGAAAGCTGGTTTCTGGAAGGATGGATGGTGTGTTCTAGTCCACCCAGCCAAGAAAGAGCAGGCAGGAAGAGGCGGTGGTCTGAGCCCCACCGTCCGTCCGATGCAACTACCTATGGCTCTGCTGTCGGTTCAAGGGGTCCTGCACGCCTCACAAGGAAAGTGGATTTCAGGAACCTTATGATCAAGCAGATCAGGAAGAATGATTCTGTCTCCCCTAGGGCAAGGGTCTTTGGGGAGTCCTGAGCTGCAAGCTTTCACTATCTCCTTATTCCTACAGGGACGTGTTCTCAAGGTCCAGGGGGCAGGATTGGAGGATGGGAAGGGACGTGGCAAATATGCCAAGATTTCCTTCCAAACGCACGAATCTAGAGTCTGGGTTGGCATTAGGGTTAGGGTTACGTGGTTGAATTTGAAGAGCAGATGCTTCTCAATCATGTCTTTTCCACGCATTGCCTTTGAAAAGCTGCTAAGGGGCACTCTCCAAAGACAGGATGGGTTGCACAAGGAAATGGTACCGTCAGGCTTGCAAAAAAAAAAAAAATGATTTTCATATGCACAGATGTCTTTTGTAGCTCAACGGAGCACAACAGGCAAAAGCTGATGATGAGGCCGTATGGTCAAAATTCTGGTTCAGGAAGAAAAATGCTGCTAAATGGGGGAAAATAGTAGCTGATAAAAATTGCACGGTGCCTCCAGAGACAAGCTGCGGTGCATCAGATTCCGTGGCATTTGGCCACGAGGAAGGCTCCCACCTCTTGTTAACCACGGAGCTCAATATCTTTCTTTGTCTCAAAGCACAGGATGTAGCCACAAGGGCTGACCTGCCCTTCCTTGGATCATCCCTTCCCACCCTGTAGGGAGTGGAATTACTAGTGAGCAGGTGAATCCAATGTAACCGACATTCGCTCCAGACCTTCCGTGTTTAAGGAACTTTGCTGGCATTCCAAGGAATTCCACCGCTGATCGAACGTGGTTCCCGCCCTAGGAGCAAGTTATTCATAGCAAGCAAGCAGGCAAGGCTGGCAGGACGAATGTCAGCACAGAAAGACTAAATACACCAAAATACGGATTTGTTTTTTAAATTACGGAATGGTTGCGATTTAGTAGTACTTTTTTTCCTGGATTTGTGGAATTATGTCCTGTGACTTTTCTAAACTCTTTCTTTCTTTTCTTTCCCTTCCTTCCTTCCTTCCTTCTTTCCTTTCTTTCTTTGACAGAGTCTGACTCTGTTGCCCAGGCTAGAGTGCCGTGGCATCAGCCTAGCTCACAGCAACCCCCAACTCCTGGGCTCAAGCGATCCTCCTGCCTCAGCCTCCCGAGTAGCTGGGACTACAGGCATGTGCCACCATGCCCTGGTATTTTTTTCTATATATTTTTAGTTAGCCAATTAATTTCTTTCTATTTTTAGTAGACATGGGTCTTGCTCTTGCTCAGGCTGGTTTCCAACTGCTAACTTTGAGCGATCCACCTGCCTCGGCCTCCCAGAGTGCTAGGATTACAGGCGGGAGCCACCGCACCCGGCCTATACATTTCTTAATAGAACTGAAGCTGCTCACTCATTCACTCACTCACTCACTCACTCACTTACATACGCATTCATTCATTCCTCCCATTGAACACCTGGCATATGCCAAGTTCTGTGATAGAAACCACGTCTCAACTAGCAAGGTAAGTGATGGCCCACAGTGCAGGTAAAAGGACACGTTAGCAGTGAGCTTGGATGTAAGGAAATGTGATAGGACCAGGGTAGAGGAGAAGTTTGTCAAAAACAGTGGCAGGGAAAACAACACAAAAACCGGGGGATCTGCTACCAGTTCTTGACAAGTCAGGGCTGTCAGCAGATGCAAGACGCCCTGGGCAGCCTCAGGGGACCAGGGTGTGGCACCCCTGTTGGATAGGACACCAGCCCTGAAAGCTTCGGTGGTCGGCTGGGGCTTGGGTGGAGAAGGAAGCAGTGGCAACCAGGTGGATGGTAACCGATTACCAAGGTCAACAGATGTTCTGGAGGTGCACTGTTTTAACTCCCTTATTTTGGTGGTTTGATCTATGCATGTTTTGGGCATGCCAAGAAACGGCATACCTAAAGGCCAACTGTGTCCACACATGCTGAAAAGTGAAGTCACAGGAGAAGAGAGTCCCGGTGTAGGGATGGCTGTTCCCCAAATACCCGCAGTATAGACACCAGCCTAGGGGCACAGGGCAGACGGTGACGACCTCCTACCGCGCTTTTGGGGAGGAGCCGAGGAGGCGAACACACCACAGCTATGGGAAACAACTCATGTTCTCCTTCTTCCTTTCCTTCCTCCTCCTAAAGCCCCTGGCTTGAGTGGCTCCTTTCCTGGCGCGTGGACACCGCTGTTTCTTCTCCGCACAGCGGGTGTCCCTGTCCCCTCTCTTTGCCCCAGGTCTGCTCTGCTGGTAGGCTGGCCTCCCGAAATCCCTCCCCACTTTTCTCCGGTGGTCGGATTCCACCTAGAAGCCGGAACGACCTCCTTTTCCTCCCCTCGCTCCTTGGCGCGGGCCCCCCCCCCCTACTTCTCGCCTGTCTGGTCCGCGCGCGCGCGCGCGCTCAGGTCGTTCCCACTTCGCACAGCCAGCTCCGTGAGGCCCTGCAGAGCTCCCCGCCCTCGCCCTGCCCCCTCCCGAGGCTGCCCGAGCCTGGCGGGAGAACCGCGGCCGGGAGGGAGGCGGGAGGGCGTGGCGCGGGGCTCACGTTGCAGCCGGGCCTGCAGCTCGCGGGATGCCGGCGGGGCCGCGCGCGCTCGCCTGCGCCCGGGCGGGGAGCCGCTGCCAGAGAAAACTCCGTCTGGCCCGGAGAAGCGCAAGCCCGGCTCCTTCTCTCTCCCCTGGAGGGGAAGAAAAGGTTCCCAGCTCGGCAAGGCAGGGCGCTCTCCCAGCGCGGCGGACTTTCCTCAGTGGCTCCCACGTCGCCCCTTCCCCTCCGTGGTCCCCGGACTTTTTCTCGGACAAAGATCGCGCCTTCCCAAAGTTGTCTGCACGCGGCCCCCCGCGGCCCTCCCAGCGGCTGTGGGCGACGCATGCCCACCCGGGACCCGGAGCAATGAAGAAGAGGCGAGAGGAAGGCTGAGCGCACAGCGGCGCGGCCAGGGTCCCTTGGCACGGGCCCGCGCCCGTCTCCCCGGGGTGGGGCAGGGTGGGGGTGGGCCGAGGCGTGGACTCGGGGAAGCCTCTCGACGACGCGAATAAAAGGGCGCCGGCTGGCTGTGCCGCGCTGGGAAGCCGAGCTGTCTCGCCCCCGGCCCCGGAAGGGCCATGGCCCCGGCGGACTCCCAGCCGTGACTCGCGCGCCCGGGCCACGCGGATGCTCCCGGCGCACCGTTCCCGTGGGTCGCGGCTTCCAAAGGGCAGGTGAGGACCGACGGTGGCCAGGGCGCCCAGGGGTGGGAGGCACTGGCTTAGCCTGCAGGGGCTGAAGGGAGTGGAGGGGTGCCCCGGGGGACGCCTGGTGCGCTGAGGGCCGGGGGACGAATGGCACTGTTCCCTGGGCACTATATTAAGTAGCTGAGAGGTCGGTTAGGTTCAGGAAGGGAAGCTCATGGAATGAGTCTTGCAGGAGGAGGAGGCTTGGAATAGGTCTAATTAGCGCTCCACTCTTCTCTTTTTCCGTCCTGGTCAGCAGCGCGCCCCCCATGCCTCGGTCTTTCTGGGTCCTGCCCACCCTGCCCAACCCTTGTTTCTAGCGCACAGCCCACGGGGACCCCGAAGTGAAGCCCACTCTGCTCTTGCAGTCTGTTCGGAAAAGGACAGTTGAGGGGGCTCTCTGCAAGTTCCTTGGGCTCGGGTTACACCAGTCTCCCCTCCCTCCTCTTCTTTCCCACGTTTTCCCTAGAAGAGGGGGCGACCGAACCCCTAGAGTGAACTGAGCCCTGCGGAAGGCGGAAAGGTCACTCTTGGAGGGAGCAGGGGTTTGATGGACGAGTCCCAAGAGCGCCATTCTCCGCGCAGCCGGGTCAGCGCGACCCAGAGGGCTCTGGAAGCCGGCCAGGGGCGCAGGGCTGTTCCAGGTTGTCCGCCCCAGGGCGAGTAGGCAGCTGCTCGCTGCTTCGCGCTCCCGCCCCGGCTTCCCCCTCCCCGGGTTCTCAGGCAGGCTGGCCCCGGCGCTCTTGCTGGCGCAGGGCTGTGCAAAGACGTGGGCCCCCGCGTCCCCTGGGAATAGGGTTCTTCTCCGGGGCGAGTTCCCTGGGGTCTCCGACGCGGGGTATGCCAGCGTGGGAGGCTGGCCAGAGCGCCGAGGCAGGGGAGCCATCCCGGGCCGCCTGGGCCAAGTCCGCCCCGCAGGCGCAGGGCGCGGGGCACTGGCCCGGATGCCCCTGGAAGCCGCCCAGCGCGAGGTCGGGCGCGCAGGCAGAGGCGGGGAAAGCCCGGGCGAGCCAGGGAACTCCTCCGCTCCAGCGCTCTGAGGTGGAGCCCCGCTTGCTTTCTGCAAAGCTGCCCTGCGCACTGTCCATTCTTCACCGGGCCGCGCGCGCAGGAATAAGGGAACGACCTGCTCCATCCAGGGCATTGAAAGGGCGGATGGAGCAGCCGCGGGCTTGGCATGTTGACCTCTTCTTCCCTGAGCCGGCTGCAGTTCCTCAGCAGCAGAACCGGGACAAACCGGCAGGCGCGCTTCCCCGTCGTGTATTACTATTTGTTTTCCATTTGTATCGCTATTTTTTTAAGTAAACTTCACCCGAGCGATGACAAAATTGTTAGACGACGCAGGCATGCCCAATGCATGAGAAAAACCACCGTTGTTCTAAACTAGGTACTACTGATGCCGTCTAACATTTATGTAAGCATTTCTTTTTTTATTTTTTCTTTCCCCCCTTAAGTGATTAGTTTGATCTTTTCTGTTTCCCTGAACACATTTTATTAGGCAATTCCTTTCTTTTTATTTAATGGTCACGTTTACAGAAGTGCCTCCCGGATAAACAACCAGGCTGTGCCAACATACCCGTGTTGGCTCTTCCAAGACAAAAGTAAATAAATAAGGATAGTAAACAAACCCACAAATAGTGGGATACATTTTGGAACGGAAACTTTGAGGACTGTCATTAAAGGATGAAAATACTCCTGATCATAAAAGACTTTCTTGAAAAGTTTTTTTTTTTTATAACCCAAATATATACGATAGATAATAACTCACTCTTGTCTAGCAGTGCATGACCTGCAGCCTTAAGGCCACCCACAGGTGGCCTTTTGACCGAATCCAAATTTTACAGAACAAATCCTTTTATGGAAAGGGGTGAGGCAGATAAAGTTGAAGCCTTTCTTGCCTCCTTTGGTGCTCAGAAAAGAACAATCTTGAAGTCAGAAGGCGGGCACAGGGTCCTTGTCATTCGAGGCCAAAATGTAACTTTTAATTCTTTATTACTATAGAAACATAGATATCTCTCCTCCTCCTCCTTTCTCTTCTTCTCTGTCTTGATCTATCTAGATATGGGTAGATTTTAGATGTATGTACATGTGTGCATATTCATGCTTGCTGAGCGCAAAACAGTGGGATTTCCAAATCTTAGTATGCCAGTGAAGCAGGAAGGCTGCATTGTATGATAATCATTAAAGTGACTTGGGAAAGGTGAAAAAGAAATAAGAGTTTCGCCTTTCTTAACTGACCTGTTGTAAGCATCGGTACGATACACGACTTGAAGTCTTGGGAAGCTTCAGGACAGCTCAAACGATGCACAATTCAAATAAAAGTGGCTAAAAAACGAGTCAGCCGGTGCTACCCGAGGATAATAAACGCATCCCGTTTTGCTGTTCCACGCCAGGTATCCGATGACTAGACGCCCCGGCAAGATGCCCACGCCAGCTCCCTGGGGGGCGCTCTCCGTGGTCCTGATCCTGCTCTGGGGCCAGCCTCCCGCGGCGCGGGCCTGTCCACACCCCTGCGCCTGCTATGTTCCCAGCGAGGTCCACTGCACCTTCCGGTCCTTGGCCTCTGTGCCCGCTGGGATCTCCAAAGACGTGGAAAGGATCAATCTGGGGTCTGTACTTCGTTCATTTCTACCTCTCTGCTAGCGCGCTCATGCCTCATTTTGGTTTGGGGACTTGTGCGTGCATCTACTTAACGTCATGTGAAATGTGTTTCCCCCATGCAGTCTCTCTGTTCTGGCATTAGGGGACCTCCAGATTGGGAGATTGGAGGGGAACGTCTTTTAAAGATACTAGATGCAGCCCTCTTAGACGATTATCTGAATATTATTCCATCAGATGCAACCGCTACAAGGTCTATATGAACAGAGAGTTAGGAACAGCTTTAGTTTGTAGAGAAATCGCCTTGATATAATAAATAGCATTTCTTCACTATGTTGTGGACTCGAATGCCTATGACACATCCTTAAATACAGGAGGGCTGTTTAAAGAGAGAGGTTTCAGAAACTGTTATTTACTTATTTAAGTACATAGCAAGAGACTTGATAAAATATTAAAACGAATAAGTAGATCACCTGTGGCATTTTCTAACTCATCTGGCTTTGTGACTTTTATGAAATAAAAGAGTTCTTTGGGGTTTTGCCTGCTTAAAATATTAATTTTTTTTCACAAAAAGGTATATTTTTATGCAGCATTCGCAATATGATTTTATGTCTTCATTTCATTTTATGCACACAAGTGTTGACTGTACATAAATGTTAGTTGCTATGAACTTCAGGCGCTCATGTGCAGTTTTGGTAGTCCACAATCATTTGGAGTTCTTCAGAAATATGGATTAGTGATTTTTCCACCATCCAGAAAAGAATGAATTCAATTAGTGTTTGACACGTATCAGCTGCCAGGATGTTTTAATAAAACAAAAGGGCCAAACGTGAGTCTATGATCAAATAATTGTTAATGAGTCTGGACGTCCTACAACACAGAGTTTACAAAAAAAAAAAAAAAATCTTGCATCTGTTGACTATAAAGTCTGGTGGTTGAATAAGAGAATGACAAGTTCATATCAACAGATGGAAGCTTCCCCAATCTGTGGCAATAGACCACTGAACAGATTCCTCAATGAAATCTTGGGAAACTTTACGATTTGACTGTCTGAAAATCCAAACCCACTGCTGATAGCTCGCCGGGAAAAACGAGTTGACTTTGGCGGAGGAAGGAAATATTGATACATAATAAGCCAGTTTTCCTTTTTACAATCTCACAATTTATCAAGACAGGCTTCTTGTCCAATGGGAGTGAGAAAAAAATGGAAGAGGAGCCAAAGTCCATTTGAATCACGGAAGGATGTGGTTTATGCAGAGCGGAAAATAGAGCTTCACCTACAATTGCTCTTTTTTTCTTGCACCTGTCGGGGTGCAAGGTGGCTCTGTCTAGGTGCTGTTATTTTTGCTTTTTGTTTGCATGAACCGTTTTAACACATGGTCCCACTTGCTGGGATCAGCCACATAATCCCTCAGACCCAGCCCGTTGGCAGGCTGCACGGCCGGGAGTTCCTGCCAGACAAGCTTTAGTGGAGCCTCAGAAAAAGTGAGGGAATGGCATGGTGCAGAAAATTGTTTCTCGGTGTGCTTCCTGGGCAGGAGGTTTGCGTGCCTGTGTTGTGTGTTGGGCACAGGCTGTCAGGTTGTAGCTAGCTAGTGATAGATGAGTCATTTTCTGCACTCGTCTTCCCCAATGACAGGGCTGCTTGTTTGATAGCTTTAGACTTGCGACTCCAATAAGGCTTACCTTTGGAGAGCTTTGCATCTTGTATACAGTTTCTGGGATGTTTCTCTTGCCAGCTATCTTTAAACAAAAGTATTTTGGTTAAGTGCAAAAACTTAACCAACCTCTAAACTAGAACATAATCTCCAACGGTTTCACTTAAGCAACTCACAATAAAGACAATGAATTGCACAGTGCTCTAAAGACTTTGCCCCAGGGAATAAAACAAAGGTGTCACAATGCTTCTTTTTCCCTGTTGGTACCAGTGATATCTTGAGATGCTTTTGTGTGATACCAAAAAGAAAAGAAAAAATGTAAAACCCTAGGGAATCACGTCATTGCATGAAATCTGTGACTTCTTTTTGTCTCAGTTTGGAACACGAATCGATATGCTACTTTTTTCATTACTCATAATATCACAGCACTGTTTCTGAAAAATCAATATCTAAATAGAGGATGAGGCTGGCATTGTGCATTTTTTTGGGGGGGGGGGAAGCAAAGCAAGTGCAGTGTGTAACAGATAAAAAACTCAAGGTCTGATTTGTCTTTTAGCAACTTGGAGGGTTTTGTAAGGCTCTCAAGGAATGAGGATTGTTGGCCGAATGGTAACAAAACTTTCTATTCGCACACAGCTGTCTGGAGGGCTCTCTGTCTTCACTGCTTTTTCCTGCTTGGACAAGCTCCAAGATTTTCTGAGAATGTCTATCCAAATATTTTCATCGAGGAAACAAACAAACAAACAAAAATAACGTCCACTTAAGTGTCTGATTTACAGACTTTCAAAGATTCTTTTTTTCCCCCTTTGATTAAAAGTCTCCTTTTAGTGACATCTTTCTGGAACTTCTCTGGTACTCATATCATCTATTTTATTTTAAATTCTGCCTGGCCGAAAGATACTCGCTGGTACCTTTGACGCAATTTTGCAAATACTGTCTGACGTACGCATTTCGCTGAGCTTGCTATGGCGTCAGCAACTGCCCATCAACAGGTGATCAACATTCTCTGCAATGTAAGCCAGGTGGCCAGGAAGTTGCAGAACTGGGGTTTACCCAGGTAATCTCTGCAGTTAGATTCTTTTTTTTTCTGAGTGCCATGCCAATTTCCTACAGGTTTGTAGAAGGATGCAAAGGGAACTTGTGCATTCCCCCGGGGCACAGAGAGGAAAGAAAATTTCTCCTCCACTCAACATTCAAGGGGTAACCTAGGCTTCTGTCTGTCTTAGAATAGTCTCCCCATTCCAACAGCATCCACTCCTGTGGCTCTCTAAGTTCTCTTAAAAACAAGCATCAGGAAGATGATAAAGTGATATAGGTCTTTGAGCTGATGTGGTCCCATCCCAGACCTTGGGAGCTGGACTTAACTGGGTGATGTATTCAGGTACGGGGACGATTTAGCCGGTACTTTTCCTCTGTTCCTGTTCTCTGGCCATTTTCCCTTCCTTTCCACCTTGGCATCCACCGTGCTAGTCGGCCATCAAATACAACCTGAGACATTTTGTAGACAAAGACAGGAGAACGCAGCACACACCGTCACACTAACGTGCGCTGGGGAACAGCCAGCTCTTTGTGACTCGTGGTCGAGATCGGGTCTTTGAGCCCCATCTCTTCCGTCTCTGCAGAGCTGCCTCCTCCTTCTGGGATGTCTGCTCCTCCTCACCCACGCGGGCTGCCCTTGGGGGACGGCATTTGCTCCCAGGGCTCTGCTCCACGCGTTGGGTGGCCAACATCTCCCGAATGCACGGCACGGGTCCCCGTCTCGGTCCAGACCTCTGTTCTCACCTCTGCTTGTCACACAAATCTGCAACATCACACAGCTTTGCATGGGCTCCCACACCCCCGGTCTGTCTCAGCCCTCCCCATCTCAGCAAACGGTCTCCCTCCCGTGTAAGCAGAAGCCCTTCCTCCAGGTTCATCATTCTCAGTTCCACCACCTGTCGTCTCTTCCTCTACTGACAGCCGACACCATCCTCCTCGTTGCTTGCCACATCTAGACGAGCCTCAGGTTCCAAGAAACGGGAGAAACTGTTGATGCTGGTAGCTACCCACTTCGGTGTGTTCACCGATCCAGACAGATTGAGTGGCAGAACCCCAAATAACGATAAACAGGTGAGGAAGTGCTTCGCCCACTGACGTCTGGGTGCAGAGCAGGGTTTCCCCAGCTCAGCACCGTGGGCATTTGGGGCGCCGTTTATCCAAGGATAGTTCTTCTTTGTTCTGTGGGGCCGTCCTATGCCTTGCAAAGTGGCACCTCCTTCCAGACTTGTGATAACCAACAATGTCTAGAGATGTTGCCAAATGTCCCCCTAGGGGTAAACTCAGCCCTGGTTGAGACCCAGTGCTGTAGATGGGTGGATGGATAGATGGATGGATGACAGACAGTTAGATAGGTAGAGATGACAGAGACAGACAAACTCTTATCTGTCCATGCCGAGGCAGACCTTCCAAATCTCAGCAATCTTGACCTTCAGGACTGAATCGCTCTTGGCTGTGGTGTCCGTCCCATGCATTGTAGGGTGTTGAGCAGTGTCCCCGGCCGGCACCACTGGAAGCCACTTGCAGCCTGCTCCAGCTGTGACAACCAAACATGTCCCCAGACATTGCTGAATGTCCTCTGCTGGGCATGTTCCAGCTTCAGAACTCTGGCTGGAAGACTCGGCACAGGACGATTCGAGTGAGCATGCCCTGACGTGGCCAAGCTTGGCAAGTCCAAGGAGCAGAGAGGTAGCCAATCGCTCCCGACCTTAAGGCAGGTAGCAGAGTGACTTAGAGAGCTCACCGATGGTCCACCATGGAATGTCCTGCTAAAATGTCAAAGCAAAGCCCAAGTGGATCAAGGATTCATGTCTGTAAATAAAAGTAGGCATCTTGGAACGTAGATTTAAGAAAAAGAGAGTGGAGTTTTTCCAGTGACTTTAAGCCACAGTGATAGACTAGCACGCAGTGAACCTCCAAGGTGGCACCAAAACCAAGCCCCTAATCAGGGCCAATAAACCGAGGGGTGAAGTTTTGCATAAAACACCGGAAATCTGTATTGAGATTGCCCTGCCGCAAGCTGGGTGCACACGACGGCACCTCTTTGAGACTTAAGTCCTGCGTCTAATGTCACCTCCCCCAAAACTCCCTGTGCCCTGGTCATTGGACTACAGGTAGCCTTCTCCACTTTCTGTCTTGGTCCTTAATCATTGCTTTCTGAAATTTGCTGCTATCTAGAATTATCGATTCCCTCCTTTTTATCTCTTTGCTTGTCTTTTTCGCCAAGAGAGCTGAGCCCTTGACCTGTTTTCTTGACCTGCCCAGAAGAGCAGTGATTGGCAGACACTGGAAGTCCAAACGGTAGCTCCGACCGCATT